AGCGTCCTCGCTGGCATATCGCTCGGTGCGTAGCTTTGATACCATTTGTAACCGGTCAAATCCACCTCTAGCAGATATTATCCGCTTTAGCCCGTTAAAATGATATTCGAGCCAGACACCGAGCGGTGTGCCAACGAGAACACTAGGCCCCCAAAGGGGGTGGATTGTGAGATTCCGTGTAAGGGTGTAGAAACCTCTCTCAAGCATACGCGTTTTAAAAACTTAAAGGGAAAGCCTAACAATATTGGTTAGCAGTGGACGGACTTGGGCGGTTACAAATAGTCCTTGAAATTTAATTCTAGAGCCCCATAATCATAATTGACTCACCTAATTTTACATAAAAATAATTTAAACAAACTAAAAAGTAGTTATACTAACTTTAAATGCTTCCAACTAGTTGAAACTAAGACGGAAGAGTCCCGAGCAACAAATAATCTAAACTAGCTAAAAAATAGTCATGCTGACCTTAAATGCATCCAACTCGTTGAAACTTAGAAGGAAGAGTCAAGGATCCCCTCAACAAGTAAATATCCTTTTCAATTGTCTCAGAAGGAAGAATTGAAACAGATGATAGACAAAAGCTAAAGGATTAGAGATCGACTCAATAAATGAAATGCTTAAACTTAAGAGTTGTATTCCTTTGAGTGAGAGTTATACAACTTGTGTTACGAGGATAAGAACAAATTTTTTTTTCCCAAGTCATAGTCTAATTGACTTCATAATCTATGAACCCATTTGACATCTAAGAGGTAAGAGTACGTGTGTATCAAACCCAAGCTAGATTAATCGCATCAGAAGCAGTTGGTGTAACTCAGTAAATGTTAGAACATGCTAGAAATTGATATTTCTTTTTCATAAAAGGTATAATGCATGGAATATAATGAAAACTAAGGACATTTTAATTTAACACTCAAATTTGTTCCGTGAGAGTTTCTAATATTCTAAAGTTTGGAGAAGCATATTTTCATAAAGGTAAAAAAAGAAAAGAAAAAAAAAAAAAAGAAAAGTGAACATTTGTGAAATTCCCATAAGAACCTAATTCATTTTATAAAGTTATTTCCATTTATTTCAAACAACTTTATCAATTCCAAAACAATATAACTATTAAATTTTTTAAAAAGAAATTATCAAATAAATTGTTCGGTTTCGCGTTTCGGGTTAAGAAAACGAAACCAAGCCTAACCAATTTGCCTACTTTATTTTTGTGCTTTTGGGAAGGTCTATTAGTAAGACATGAAAAGCATGAAACTTTCCAGCTTTAGAATATGAGAAGCGATTACGTTAACTCGACTAACCTGGATGCCACATGGCGTTTGTGGATTTGACTGTCGTGCTCCTTCCTCACAGTCCCTCCAATCTTATCTGTGAAGCTGATTCATATAAAAAAGGAAAATAGTAAACAAAAACGTTGACAAAGTCAGAATTTAACTTGCAAAGCAATCATTCATTCATAATCATTAAAACTTTAGATTATTGGAACTTGGAAGGGCAAAACTGTAATTTGGTTCTTTGTATAAAAAAACACAAAAGAGTTGAAAAACACATAGGATTCTTAAATAAATAGCTAAAGAGAAGAAAAGAAAAAGGTTTTAGCTAACTTGTTCAACTTTGAGTTCATTCAGAAAATGAAACACAAAAAGAAAAAGGAAAAGGATAACAGAAAGCCGAGACCTTTTTCGTTCAAGAGAGGCTGTAAACCCGATACGTATCTCCGTTAGCGTCACGGTTTTTAGAGGTTTCCACACCCTTATAAAGAATGGTTCGTTCCCCTCTCCAACCGATGGAGATCTCACAGACGTGGATCAGAAGGAAGATAGCCTTTGATCCACGTTGCTGTTCCCTCGTGCTGCCACGACATCATGACACATCAGCACAATAGAAACCCGCACCTACTTTGACCAAAATTATGAAATTCCACATACATGTGTATATATCTAGAGAGAGAGAGAGAGAGAGTTCTTGAGAATTCAAAACCTGATTAGTTTAAGAAGACTTGAGAAGTCCAAATCTCAGAGGGCCCAGGATTTCAAAGGAGATTACTTGCTTTTCAACCAATCCATAGAACTTCAAGAACACAGCAACTACTACAAAAACTGGTGCTGTTCTTGGTGGATTTTAGGAACTGGTTTCCCCCTGAAATGAAATTATGGAAGCCAGAACGCCACCAAGTGTGTTACAGAACCACTCCCACCAAGCTCAAGAAAGAAGAGTTTCATCTTCAACACCAAACCAGGTTTCTCTCTCTTTCTCAATCAAGAAAGCATTTCCATTATCATATCCATGAAAATTCAGATCCATTTTTGGTGTATGGACGTTGACTTACATGTATATGAAGGAATCTTATTGGCTGTTGTTGTAGGTTCAAGAACCGAGCCATCCGATCGAGCCTGCCATGGGATGGAGAATTTTCAGGTGGCTTTCTAGCATAGTTTTCAAGATTCATATATGTCTGGTAGCCGTGTTAGTGATCGTTTTGACAGTTCTCGGACTTCGGTCGGCTTCTAAAACGCATCATTTTCACCCCAAAGAATGGTACCCTCCATTGTTGGCTTCTATTGGGAGCTCTGGAATCATTGCCTTTTCATGGCAGGCCTTCACTGGCTGTTCACCTTCTATGGCCTTCAAGACAGCCTTCTGGTTTAGCCCTGTGCTATCACTTGCTTCTGGTGTTTTCTTTGTCATTGTCGGATCTCGAGGCGGTTTAGCAGCAGGAGTTATCCTCATAGTTTCTTCCTTGATTGTGTCTGTATATGTCTGTTGGATCAATCACCGGTTGAATTATGCAATTCAACTTCTATCACTTTCTACTAAGTACCCTCCTACGAACACTCCAATCTTTGTCTTTGGATCAATCCTCATTGGCGTTCTATACGCAGCTTTCGTGGTCATCGGCATCGGTGGAGCAACTTCTATTACGTCGAGTTTTAAGGCGTTGTTCATAGCAGCAATACTGTTGAGCCTAACATGGACTCTGCAGGTTATCAAGAACGTAGTGCACGTTACAATCTCGCGCATAAAGTACTTTAATTTAGCTTGGGGTCGGGAAAAGGACATACGAGCAGCTTTCTACGACATAATAAAGCATTCAGCTGGAACTATTTCTCTTGGCTCAGCCATCATCCCTTTTATCAGCTTCATTCACGGATCGGCCCGTGCCATGAGGTTGGTGGCAGGAGACTCGGATGAGTTCCTTTTCTCTTGTGCACCCTGCTACTCAGAATTAGCTTCAATGCTGAGAAACCATGGAAACAGGTGGGGTTTTGTCCATGTTGGAGTTTACAATAAAGGGATTGTGCAAGCTTCATATGATACCTGGGAGGCATTCGAGAAGGTGGATTTGGAAATCGTTATAGACTCCGATCTCACCGTGTCGTTCTGCGTTCTTTGCGGGGTTTCGGGTGGTGCAATCTGTAGCATTATAAGTGGGATCTGGGCACTTGTAATACATAAGAGCTACGCAACAGAATTAGCAATCTACGCCTTCCTGATTGGCTATTTTGTGGTAATGAGCTGAAATATTTTAGAGGGAACTGTTCTAAACTGTAACTGAATTTAATGGTAATACCTGAGAGGAATTTAACTTCTGGATAACAATGTTCATGGTTGTTGTTGTTGTTGTTGTTGCAGTGTCGAATCGGAATGGCATGGCCACAAGCATGTGTGTCTGCCTACTACGTAGCTTATGCAGACAATCCCCTGCATCCTCGGTTCGACTCCACTGTGCCAGACCGGATTCGAGAACTTCGGCGGAGGTTGCAAGTTTAATCAACCCTGAAACATGAAAACAAGTGAAGAAGCAGATTTAGACCATTCCTGAAGCTCCAGTAAGAGACTGGCCTAAGAAAAAAATGCCTTCCCCCACTGAAACAGCAATGCCAGCTTTAAGCTTCTTCCTTTTTCCCTGCAAATCTTGTTCTTAGAGAGAAATTCATGGTAGATTCTTTATTCAAACACATAATAAAGCTTCATAACTACTAACAAGAACAAAAACAAAGAGATTCATGCAGTACTTTGTGAAAACTTTCCTTGAAGTTCATATATTTCTGATTTTGTAGGCAGCTCAGAAAGAATTCGTGTCGGTTTGACTAACAAGTACAAATCTTGAGGGAAAGGAACACTATGAAGTAAGTTGAACTGAATCAGATATAATTGCTCCAAACTATGGCAAGACAAGCTGCTTAAATGAAAGATGAACTCTATCAATCTTCACTAAATTTCAAGATTAATATATCTCATCATCATTGCATAATCCATGCCCAATATTACAACAGCTGGGGGCGGTTCAAGACAAAACGTTCAAAACGAGTCTTTGGAACTCATTTAGATCCCAGGTGACCACGACCGCCGCATTCTGAACACATGGTATTACCAGTTCCACCACAACCTACAAGAAGATGATTAGAGTTAGGACAGAAACTTTTCAAGAAGTAACCTGAGAACTAAACATACAGATTTTACCGAGGCAACGAACTTTCACAATGATTCCCTGGCTCTCCAATATCGAGTCAACATACAAGCCCGAACCGGAGCAAGTTGTGCAAAGAACAGCACCTTTAGCATGACAATCAGTGCAACGGGGATTATCTCCAATCATTTTCTCTGCCAGAGATATTCCAACAGGCATCTCAATTATTTCTTCCGGAATAGCCTTATCATAGCAAAATAAAGATTCAAAAGCACTTCGTTGTCTGTGAACATCTGCAGCTGAAAAATCCCTCGGCTACATCCAGAAAATTTGACAAGATTCTCAAAACCAAAATTATATAGCAATCACAAACTATGAATGCAGATCATATACTTAGAAGCATATGATTGAATACATAATCACGAACACGTAGATCGGAATATGACAGAAAAGGCGAAAAGCAGAGGTTATGTTTGATGTCTAGCTACTATTGCCAACAGCTAATGACATTAAATATTGATTGCTGAGGTTTATCACAAATGCTTGTTTACTTATTACAAATGCTCTTGCCAGTTTCAATCAATTATGTCAACTCAGCAGGCAAAAGGTGTGTTACATGGCTCAAGCCCACCGCTAGGAGATTTTGTCCTCCTTGGGCTTCCCTTTCGGGCTTTCATTCAAGGATTTTAAAACGTGTATGCTAAGGAGAGGTTTTCACACCCTTATAAAGAATGCTTGGTTTTCCTCTCCAACCGATGTGGGATCTCACAATCCACCCTCCTTGGGGGTCCTGCATCCTCGCTGGCACTTGTTCCCTTCCAACATGTATGCTAGGGAGAGGTTTTCACACCCTTATAAAGAATGCTTGGTTCTCCTCTCCAACCGATGTGGGATCTCACAATCCACCCCCCTTAGGGGTCTCGCATCCTCGCTGGCACTTGTTCCCTTCTCCAATCGATGTGGGATCCCCCCCCCCCCCCCCCCCCCC